GTCGTTAGTTCAATCCTCGGTACCGATAAAAAGGAAAAAGACAAAAAAATAAAAATAAAAAAATAAAACAGCTATTAAAATGGAGACTGAGTCTGTGAATCTAACTCAGGGGGTCCGAGAAGGCTAAAGAAAGGGGCTACATCCGAGCTGAGTGCTAACCCTCAGGAAGGACGCAGCCTCTTAGAATCCAGGTAGCAGGCAGAGCAAGTACAAAGGGCCCGCAGGTGGGAGAGGCCCGACAGTCTAAATCCCCAGGTCGCTGGGCTGCGGAGCGGCAAGCTCTAGGGTCAGGGGACGACAGGCTGGATCAGGGTCGTGCGCATACTTTGCTGACCATACAGAGAGGAATGCTGTCTAAGCAGGGAGCCCCCAGGGGAGGCTGACGCCTCTGGCCTCTGATCCAGTTCTACGGGGTCACCCAGTGGAACACACCGAGATCACTTTCCTCATCCAGAAGAACTCAATGTTACCGGCGGCACAGAGCCGGGGGCAGAGCACACCTCCCCATTCATCATGCGGAGCCTGCCTGACACTGAACGTGACGCCTTCCTGAAATCCTGTGCGAAGGGTGGAGACCCAAACTAACTGCCTGGCTTCCAGGCCACACCAAGTAGCGGTTTGAAGGTGTCACTCTCAACAGGAGAGACGCCACGGCGGGCTTAGGTGGAGTTTTCGCAGCCGGCTCACTCTCAGCCTGAGCAGAGTGCAGCGAGACAGCGGGCACAGCCACAGGAGGAGGCACTGAGCCTGGGGGACACGGTGCTTACAGGGAAGAAAGGTCACAACGATGAACCCATGTCTAGCGACAGGGAAAAAGCTAAACCAACAAGGGGACTTCTGGGGGGCTCGAGGCAGGAGAAAAAGGGAACCCTGGGATTGTGGAAGCGGCTGGAGGACGGGTGAGAGGCGAGGAAGACTGCCGCGGAATGACTTCCCTCCTCGTGCCTGACGGTTACCCACCTTCACCTACATGAACACTTTTCACTGAAGGGCTCTCTCTGCACCCTTTCCGGGAGCTCACTTTTCATGGTATGTGGGCTCCCCCTGCCCGCACTGTGAGTGGAACCTAGACATGAGAAGAAAAGGAAATGTCGGCAGCCTATGGATGAACTGGAGGACTTATTCTAAGGCAGAAAACCCAGCCGCCCTGAGGGCATGAGGTCTCCAGAGTGGCATCCCCAGAGACAGGAAAACAGGACTGCTGCTGCCGGGGGCTGGGGCGGGGAAGAAGGAGAAGACAGCTGCGCACCATAAAGGGAGCTGGGAGGCGGCTGTGGTATCGGTGCACAGCCTCACAGGTACACTCACACTGCCGTGCAGCACACTTACAAAGTGCTATGATGGTACATTTGTAAAGCACATCTTACCACAATAAACAGGTAGGGGAAAAACTCAATCATATGTTAAGATACTACATCTAGTACTATAATGAGGTGCTATTCCCTTCAATACGTGAGACAAAACTAATTATTTTTATTTTATTTTATTTTGTTGAGACAGGGCCTTGCTATGTCGTTCAGGCTGGCCCTGAACTCACCATGTAGCCCAGGCTGCCTCGAACTCGAGGTGATCTTCCTGCTTCAGTCTCCGGAGGGCTGGCATTCCAGGCGTGTGCCACCACATCCACAGTGAGTTAGTTTAAACAAAGCAGTAACACACGGCTTTGGGGATGCCACTGTACTCAGGGGGGCGGCACTAGATTGAGGGTCTAAAGTAAACTAAATCAGACCTGGCCCGCCCTTCTCCTCAGGGGACAGCATCCCGCCCTGCCTTCTCTCCTGAGGACAGCACACCCACATGCAAGTCCCGGGCTGAGTGCCACGGCACACTCGCTATGACCAGAGCGCTGAGGGCACTTGCAGGCCACTAGCAGAGAAAGAATGGAAACAGGTGTCCTTCAGCAGAGCAAAAAGGATGGGCGAGAATCCTCTCCCACACTGCAGACAAAAGGAAACAGAGCTGACAGGCCGCCTAGTGGGGTGAAGGGCAGGCCTAGAGCCTTCCTGAGCCAACTTGTTTTATCTGTCTTTCTGGAAAGGAAAACAATGGTGCTGCCTTACAGTGTCACAGGAACAGCAGCCAGGCATTTTATTCTTCTACAAGTACCTATACGGGCTTTAACATTCACGTATCACAGAACGTAACTGGCTTTAGAAACAACTCAGTAACAAAAAATGGATTTATTTATGTATCACACGATAAACTTCAGTTCCTAAACAAAATATCAAAATCAAACAATGACCTTAAGGCAGATTTAGAGTAAAATACTAGCTCTAAAAGATCATACGCTTGTAGTAGAAGTAACTTGGCAGCCACAGCAGCAGCTGCAGCCCAGTTGAAGAGCTTCCTCGCCGGAGGCAGGAGCCCTGCGGCCTCTGTTCCTCACCGGCCGCCCCTCCCGGCTGCCGGCCCACCTCGCACCCGGTCTACCCAGACTCCAGGTCACTTCACATTGCCTTCCCGCAAGTCAGCGAAAGCCCAGTGAGCACAAACTTAGAAAATGGCTCCAAAAAACAGAGAGACTTGACTTTGAAATATCCTTAAAATAAATACGCCTGTTACACTCTCATGCACACACACGCACATGCATGTGTACACAAACACAGAAATGGATCCAGGGTGACTGCAGAGGCGCAGATTTAGCTCTAGTGAGTTCTTAAAATAGCCCTGAGGTTGGAGTTTTCTCTATTTAAATGGATTAACACAGAGTCACTGCAGGTCATAACGATATTAATCTCTTTAATTCTGATTAAGGGGACATCCAAGGCCATTCCAGAAGAATTGTTCAGTCAGCAGCATCCTCAATCTCCCGGGAAAGCCTCTGAGAACACCACCATCCTGCCTGTGGCTGTAGGGACACAGCTCCTTACTTATGGTGAAGCCAACAGATTTTATCAGAGAAACTTCGGAGGCAAATTTAAAGAAAAAAATCACAAAGGAAAATAAACTTGATTACTTTTTTCAAAAAATTGATTTTAATATTTTCTATGTAATTTTCTTCCCCTTTTGACAAACACTGGGTGATGAGTTAAGATATTAGTTCATTCTTCAGAGAAACCCTTGGCAGTACATTTGTGACCAGCATGAGAATTTCCGTCAAAAGGCTTTCTCCTTGTGTCCTCGTATGACTACACAAGTTGTGATAGCTGATTTCAGATAAAAATCAATTTACTCCTTGGCTTGTAAGCTAGTTTTCTTTCAGGGTGTCTAGATTTCTAGTGTCTCTTGATTACAAAAAAGATTACAGTGGGTAAAAATGCTTAATAAGTATCTTTTAGTACATGATTTACTGCAGTTACTGGCTTTTTAAAGGGCACAGTCAAGCAAATCGAAGGGATGTTTGACCTGTTGCTGCAGAAAAAAATGATTCTCTTAAAGAAAATACTCCTTTCAAGGTTTACAGGGCAGACAGGACAGAAAAATAACCTGCCTAGTAAACTCAGTGCAATGCCAAATACTACAGTGCTACATGTAAACAACATGGATTTGACTGAAGAATGTAACTAGGGACACGTTTGATCTACACTTGGCTGTGTTTCTACTAAGTTTTCATGTAGGCCATATTTTGGAAGACAGTATTTTGAGTGCTCATTTTACTATTAAGGAGGAAAGGGGAACCTTTTATTAATTTCTTGGTAAAGCAGAATTAACACTGAAGTTATTTCTTTGTAGATCTGAGTTTATGTGAATTGTTTAAACATCATTTGATTTCTGTTTTTTTTTTTTTGGTTTTGTTTTTCTTTCTTTCCTGATACTAAGAATGGAACTGATTTGATTGCTGGAGCTGTAGCCCTGGGCTACAGCTCCAGGGCTTTTAAAACGAATTTTATAAGCAACTTTATGAAGAAGTTAGAACATTTTTTTCAATACTAGTAACTGAACCCAGGGCTTTTGCATGAGCTATCTCACCATCCCTTTCTAATGTATTCTGAGACAGAGTCTCATTAAGTTGCTAAATTATTTCGGTTAGGTTCAAGCTTGTAATTTTCCTGCCTCAGCCTCCCAGGGTGCTGGGATTACAGGCATGAGACACTACACTCAGTCAAAAGTCTTGATTCCTCAATTCTGATCGTGGGCAGGGGAAAGAAAGAGGTCTACAAAACATACGAATTCTTACTGAGTTGTTCTTAGACAATAACTTTTTATTTTTAACACAGTGCCAGGACTGAACCCAGGGCCCAGGTGCATGCTGGGTAAGTGCTCTCCCACCAAGCTATACCCAGGCCCCTGAGAATACACTTTAACAGTAATCCACTAACTGCTCTAATAGATAAGACACAAAATTTTACCTATTTTTAACATATTTTGTACTTGTAAAATATATTTTAATACTAGACACCGTTGACTGTAACCTTCTTAGGATTTTTTAAAAAATTATCGCTTAAGATACATAAATACTCTTCAAATGGAATTAGCAAGAATGTTAATTAAGTTTAGTAACAAAAAGCAGAGCTCCAACCCTATTTCTTCCACTTACTAGAACTGTCATCACAGAGAAATTGCTTGATCTTTCTATGCCTAAGTTTCTTTGTCTACAAAAAGTGAAACAGCCACACTTACCTCATGAGGTTGGCGTGATGATTAAAAGAAGTCCATTTAGAAAAGAATGAGCGGTTCTGGGGGCTGAACCTGAGGCCTCATGCCTGAACACTCCCCGCCGGGCCCCATCCCCAGCCCGCCGGCCCCGTGAGTCTCTATAAAGAATGTAGCACAACCCACCCACAGAAAGCACTCCATTAAGGTGTGATACTATTACTGCTCTGGGATGTATTACTGAATACAAGTGCCAAGTTTTCTTCTGTTGGTGGGGCTCAATACAACAAAGTCAGAGAGAGCAGAAACCGAGTTTTCATGAGGCACTGTTACCATTTCTGACCTACCAGGTTCCTGACTTGCCCCACTGTTTTCACTTCCTGGACTTGTAATAAACAATTAAAATGAGAAACATAAGAACAAGCCCTGCTGCCTCTTTCATGGAAATCAACACAGCGGCCACCCACCTGTGCAGCTCTTCCGTTTTGTCTTCCGTTGGACCTACGATTAGTAAACAATGGCGAAGGACAGCTGCCATGACTCGGAACTGATGAGAATCGCTCTATGCAAATAAAAAGAGGAGAGCAAAGTTGGGGGTTGAATGTCTTCACACAGCAGTCCCTGCCCCCAGGACACTCACACCGGAGGGAGAGCAGGGCAGTCTGGGAAGGGCTCCCAGGCCACGCGACAGAGGGCAGCCGCGCCCGTGCGTGGACAGACACAGCGTCGGTGGACAGTGGACACCAGGGCTGCGACCCCGCCGCTCTGTTTCACCTTTGCGGAGGACACGACTCTGCTGGGGTTTTACATTTCCGGAACTCCGGATTCTTGGTCCTCTCGTGTGCTCCGCCCGCTTGCCAGTCATTTTAAAAGTCCCAACATCAGGACAGCTATTTTTGGAGCTAGCTCTACATCTTAACAGAAGTCTCATCTCTTAACTTTCAAAAGCAGTGCGTTCCTCAGCTTCGTTTTATCAGTGTTCTCACTCTCTCAGTTTCTGCGGAACAACCCGCCAGGCCCGAACAAGTGATCGGAGTCCCCTCCTGCCTTCCTTCCCCACCTCCACTCCCGGCGGCGGGTGGCGGGCGGCGGGACACTGAAGCCAGGCAGGAGGAGCCGACTGCGGGGGAGCCCAGCACGCTCCGCATAACCACTGGGCTTACCGCTCCATCCCAAGAGAGATCTTGGACCACTACATTAACTGAATCACCTGTAACAAGGTCTTACCTCCCTTCATCCTGGTTATAAGTCATTAAGGTAACACTCTATTACAGCTAATTATGATAGACAGCCCAGATAGTCGATATTTCAAGAAAAATGTAATTACTCCAAAAAGCTACTAAAAATTTCAAGTTTCTTAGTATATAATTGATTTTAAGTCCAAATTAAGTGAAATACATTTACCAGTATGTAAGTACATATAAGCTCACACAGTCTCTCCAAGAAGACGTTGCTCTTAGAACCTAGCAGCAGGGACACTTTGAGTCCTCCGGGATGGCATTTTAAACACACAGCCACCACAGCAGAACCGGAGAAGACAAAGGCCTCGGTGGTGCCAGGGAAACAGCGCCACACTTGGAGACAGGCACGGGGTAAGGAACCTGGAAGAGTCACCCAGCTTCTCTCAGCCCCAGTTACCCCACAACACACACGCGGTTCTGCCGGAGACAGCAGAGCTGCTAGGCACACAGCGCTACAGAACCTTCAGTGCACGTGAAGCTGAGGGAAGGTCTCGGTGAGTAAACACAGGTCAGGGTGACAGAGGCGATGCAGGGAACCAACACTGGGGGCTAAGGGACGAGGGAAAGGATGGGGGACCTGCCCGGAGTCCAGCAGGTTCAAGTGAATGCGGTCCATCTGCCGTCCACCCCTACACACCTGGGGGAAACGCTCGCATGGGAATGCGCGTTCCCTACACAGAGCACACTGAGACCACCACGCTCAACTACTGTACAACTCCTCCTAGGGTGTGCTCCTTGCTTCTGGGCAACTGGGAAATGTACCACCTTTTAAGCTAGATTCTCCTTTATTTTAGATGAAACAATTTCTCCTCTCCAGGAAGAAGATGACCCTCTTGCAAAATGAACCACTTTGTTCCTTTCACTATCTGCAATTCCAAGCCAAAATCCAGCCTTCCATCCCATTTCCTCCTTTTCCAGCTTTCCTAACACCTATCCCAAGTCCTTCTGTCTACAACATCCTCTCTTATCCTACATCTACTGAAATCTATTTTTTGCTCAAAACAACTTCTGAAACCACTTCTACTCTTTACACTGCTGATTCCTTTTTATCCCTCAGGTCTCAGCTGAAGCATCTTCTTGGAGAAGCCTCTTCTTTGGCCGCTGGATCTAAATGGATTTCTTCTTTCTCGACTATCACTGTATCTATTTAAATTCTTTCATGAAATCATAATTTGTATTTCCACATGTTAATTTCTTTGAATATATTTTGTTCCATACCACCATAAAAGTAGAATGTGTGTCACACATGCTCAATAATATTAACGCAAATATTAAGTATAAACAGAAAAGAGCCAAGTTATAAGCATGCTGATAGGACCACAAAATGAGTGTGCCTGTATAGCCAGTATGAAAACTCATGTAATGCCAAGACTGAGAACCCAGGATGCTCACAACCCCACACCAACAATCTTCAGCTCCTCAAAGGAGATCTTCGATGTCACAGACGAGCAATCTGAAGTCACCACACTTCATATGAATAGAATGAAAAGCCCCTCTGGTGTCTGGCCGTGAGGTTCATCCACACTGATGTGTGCAGGTGCAGCTCACATCTTCATTAAGAGCAGCCTGCTTCCAAGCCTGGCGCTGGCCCACACTGCCTGTCACTGATCAGCAATACCGCAAAAACAGAGCGTGGAAAGTTTAGGAATGTTTTGAGTAGCAGAGACTCGTGTTCTGAGGGCCTGGGGAAAGACTTGGTGCTTCATTCCCTGCAGACAGGTTAAGGAAACAGTGCTGAACAGCACTGCACTGGATGAGTCTGCCCCCCTCTGTCCTCATACTCCTGATGCACGCATGGATCATTAACCATGTGAACATGCTTTTTGCATGTCATTTGGGATCTGCTGAGTACACCCAGGACAGGGGATGCAGTCATAGGAATAGCTGTAAGTCAAGCTGTAGAAGATAGTGCCAGTGTTTCACAGGGTTTGTTATGCTCAGGGCAGTCTCTCTGCTGAGACTTACTGTCAGCCTTTGTTGATTTTAGGCCTTCTTAAGCACGTGCAAAGGTTTCTTAGTTTTAGTACGCATTTTCCTGATGACCAATAAAGCTGAACACTTTTTCATGTTTACTGGTCATTTGGAGAGCTCTTCTGCGAAGTTCCTGCTCAAGTCTTGTTTACTTGTTATTGAACTGGCTTTATTTATTGACTTAGTCTTTCTGAGACAGGGCCTTACTGTGCAGCTCAGGCCAGCCTTGAGTTCACTGTGTAATCTGCGTGCCTCAGCCTCCCAAGAGCTGGGGTGATGGGCATGTGCCACCACGCCCTGCCCGGCTGACTTTATGTAGCACCAGCTCCACGCTCAACAGAGCCCTTTACTGCACACACAGGCTGCGATGTTTTCTCCCACTCACTGACCTGCCTTCTTAGCTTTTTCTTTTGATAAACTCACTTTAATAAGGATCAAGTTGTGAACATGTAGGTTTATTGTTTGATCTTGAGTCCTGCTTTCTTTAGAAATCTTTGCTTATTTAAGAAATGTTTAACTTTGGAATAAAGTCATGAAGATAGTTTCCTATATGCTTCATTATTTCATCTTTCATATTAAGGTCTCAACCAACTCAAATTAATTCTTTTGCTTTTGGCAGAGGTAGGGATACAAATTCAGTTTTTCCCAAAAATAATCCAGGGCCATTTATTAAAAAGCCTGCCCTCTCCCTGATGCATCTCCATGTTACCTGTATCATAAGCCAGCTGACTGGCTGTGTATAGGTTTATCTGTAGACCTTTCTTCTATCCTACTAGACCACGTTTGGGGAAATGCTGTCCGAGGAATGGTGCTGCATACGTAGTTTCACTTATTAGAGGTAACAGTGGACACTGCTCTCCCGCTGCGGGTTACCCACTCTGTGCCTCTCCACAAGGAATTTTCACACACTCGTCAGGGTCTTCGTCAGATGGAGTTAACACTCCTGTCTCACATGAATACCAGGTAAGATGGACAGTAACTACTCTTCAAACATCACACAACTGTTCTGTATCTTTAAGCCATCAACATTCTCTCCTCTGAACTGACACCACTTTCAAAATCTGAGAAAGAAAGAAAAAAGGCTCTAAGTTCAGAGGGCAAAAGACAGCGAGCATCAGATTTGGTTGCGATAGCAGAAATCAAAATGAAATCAGAGATAAAAACAAGAATTCTTTGGGATCTCTTTATACACTCTTCACTTCCTAATTAGATGCTACTACTATACTACTACTTTTTTTCCTTCCATGCAAACTGTGGAAGATCTAACTTTATTTGACGAAAGTATCAATTTTCCTCTTATCTTTTCATTTAAAACTTTGACCGATCTAATCAATGCTCAAAAGCTCAAAGGAATATCGGAAGTATATGGCACTCGAAGCCAGTATGTTTCCCTGATGTGATTCTTTACTTTTAAATACACAGAAAATGCTGCTAAGAATAGTAAAGAGCATAACAAGCTATGGTTTAAATGCTCCTATGAAGCACACTCTGAAGCCAGTTTCCACTGGACTGGTCCTGGGTGGTGTGGGAGTGTTCAGAAGTGCTTAGGTCGTGGGAGCTCTGCCCCTATGAGCAGAACAACGCTGTCACCATGGGCGTGGGCTAGGGTTCGGTCCCTTCTGTGCTCTCGGGCTCTCTCCCCCTCTCAAACAGGCACGTGGATGCTCTTCCTCCAAGCAATGCCTTCCACTCTGAGATGCTGCAGCAAGCAGGCCCTAACATAGACACCACCTCACAAACCTCTCTCGTTAATTATCAGTCTGTGGTGCTCTGTAATAGCAGCTGAACATGGCTTGGGCAGAGCCATACAGCCAAATGTGTGCGTATGTCTGATTTCCCTGGAAGACTTGGTACTCTGAGGCAGTGATGTTTTGCCTTGCCTTTTACCTGCCTACCACAGAGCTTGGCACCAAACGCTCAGTAACTGCTGGGAAAATGATTCTGCGAAAACACACTGCAAAGCCTGGAGCTTTGTTCAGGACTATCTTGTCTTTGTCTATTTCCTCACAGTCTCTGGAACCTCACAGAACCCTTTGTTACAATGTGGCACTCTCAATGACTGCGTGGAGCTCACTGTTCGGCCTCCCCACCGGCATCTTCTGATTGCTTAGACACTGGGGCCTCTCCACTCACACTCGGCTGTCTGGCCCTAACCTGGCTACTCGTCCTTGCACGTGTTTACCGTACTGCACTGACCCTTAGGACACACTGGAGAAGGGAAAGTGTGCTGCGTAAAGGACCCGAGAGCATGTCCTCCTCCGTCAACAGACACACTTAGGAAAATACTAAAGCATGAAGAACACAGATTTCAATTCACTTTCTTAAAACTAACATTAAGTCCTGCAAAGGAGTCACTTGGCCATTACAAATACACTCCCTTTAGGAAACCAGGGAGCAAGAACGAGAAGAGAGGGAGCAGTGGAATCCACACGAGGAAACAAGGCCAGCTACACCAGCTGAGGAAAGACCTCCCAATCAGCCTGCTGATGGCAGCAGCAGCCAGGCCGGAATTTAACACTCAGGCATGAATCTAAAATGAACAATGGTATGAATTTGTTAAACCTCAAGAGAAATCTCTCATTCTTTTCTGGTTTTGGTGAATTGTAAATGAAACCCATAAAAACAAAATATCATAAAAGTATTTGCTAGAACTAAAACCAAACCCAAATATCTCTGTTTTCTGTAACTACTAGGCTATGAAATAGGCAAAAAACTTTGAAAGTGAAGTGCGTGGGGTTTACCAGCACTAGCATTTTGAAGATCAGTTTGACAACACATTTGAAAAAACCCTGCTGGGCATGGTGGTGCACTCTGTGATCCCAGCACTCGGGAGGCTGAGGCAGAAGGATCGTTGCAAGTTCGAGACCAGCTTGGGCTACAGAGGGAGGCCAGCCTGAACTGCATAGTGAGACCCTGGTTCAAGAAGACCAAAAACAAAAAAACTTAAAATCATTTGGTGCATCAATTTCAGGAGTGCATCTAACCAAGGTTTCACAAGAAGAAAAGTCACTGGATTAGTAAAGTGTGGCTGTCAGAATATTTTTTGTTGGGGCTGGAGATTTAGCTCAGCGGCATAAGCACCTGCCTTGCAAGCAGGCAGTCGTGAGTTCAATCCCCGGTACCAATAAAAATGAAAAAGACCAAAAAAAAAAAAAAAAAAAAAAAAGAATATTTTTTGTTGTTGTTGCTGAAGAATCCTTTTTATCTTTCAAAATGAAATGTTAGTTACAACTTAAATTTACAGAGAAACAACATTAATCAACAACAATCAAAGGAGCTTTAAAATGAAGATAGAGAATCAGCGAATCTGCCCACCCACCCAAAGAGGCCATTCCTAGGCAAATTTCATTTTCAAGGAACACATTTTGAAAACTACTATATTTTTGGGCAGTTTTGGGGAGCAAAACTAGGGCCTTACACACACCAGACTAACACTCTGTCACTCAACAGCACCTCAGCCTTTCAGCCTCCTGAAAACCACTACTCTTCAGGAACACTTGTTTTGTGAAGTTGTGTGTGTGTGGGGGGGGTGGCATTTTAATTTTTCCACTTTTATTTTTTGTGATACTGGAGATGGAACCAGCAAGTGCCATCTCCCCAGCCCTTGGACTGCACTTTTAAAGATGTGGTGTATGCTGTCTCACACAGCCCGTGGAAGCGTGGCCCGAAGAACACTTCTGCAGGCAGCTCCTGTCCACCGCTGGTGAGCCTCTCCTAGACCTTTCAATCTGAGGGAAAGTCTCCACTCTTCAAATGCCTACATGATCTTAATCTTCAGATCTCAGGAGAGGTCTTCGGAAGTCACACTTCCAGTCCCTACATTGTTTCCTAGCCCTCTACATAATTATGTACTTGTTCACTGATTTATTATGTATTTCATCTATGAAACTGAAGTTTCATGAATGCAAAACAATGACTATTATTTGCTGATATATTACAAAATGCCCATATAACATGTACCAAGTGTCCATAAATATTTGTTGACTGACTGAATGAATGAATGTTTGCTAAAAGTTTAACTTGAAGGCTCACGAAGACATTCTTTTCCAAATGGGTTAGCCGGGACCCTGTTTCTAACACTGTCTGTATTTCTGAAAACCTTAGTAACACAGTCACAGTAACTCACCGTGTTTCACAATGCTGTGTCAGCTGAGCCACAATTCAGTACAGGACCCCCAGGACTAAGCAGCCCTTCACAGCAGAGGCTACACACTCTCAGAGCCACCACTGCTCTGACCTGACGCACACTTAGGAGCACTCACCCAGCTGGGGGAGTTTCTAGTACACGTCAGCCATGGCACACACCTCCTTGGGGTGAAAACACGAACTATAAACTGTTTCTGCCAGGCCTCTGGACAGTGGGAGACACTATTTGGGGCATCACTTAAATAACATGGCCTCAACATCAGCAAACCAACAATTTCAGGGGAGTTCTTACAACCAAAAGCATGATGTGAACACATCAAAACAAGCAGTGTAAGAAAAATAACCACAGAAGTACCAAATAAGCACAGACAACGTTTTAAATACTTACAAATATTTGGTTTCAAAGCATAAATGGAGCACGTGGGCTTTCCACATCTTTTCCTGCCAAGTCTCAGAAAAAAGCTGACCAGACTACAGTCATCTAAAAAAGCTGGCAGATTTTCAAATATTTGGTTCCAAAATACCAACTTATCTGTAGGTTAAAACTCAGGTGCTGACCACTCCCACCACAGCACTGCCACGGTGCCCCTTCTAAGCTGGCTGCGGGTAAAAATAGACCATTGTTTATGGGCCAGAACTATTCCAGGAGCACACAGCAACTGTTAACGCAAACACCAGACTCAAAACTGTCTTTTTTAAAGGCGTGGGTGACTTTCACCACCTATTAGAGAAAGAAAACACAATGTAAGAACTGTAGAGAAAAGGGAAAGAGTTCATGTCCACTTCACTTCCAGCTGCTGACTCCTTCACACCAAGTCTTTAGCATCCTGTCCCGTGGGCACTCAGTCAGAAACTATCAGGTTTTCCTCACTTTCGGATGCCGGAAGGTCCAAGTCACAGAAAGGACCTCGGTCTAGAAAGAAGCCAAGCGGTTTAAACACCCTTCCCACACTCTGGCGTAACTGCCCGCTCTCCAGGAGGATGTGCACGAGGACGGCTGTCTGGGGTGGTCCTGCACTTCTGCCGGCCAGCTAACACTCCAGAGCCACACTCAGGAGCCTGCGATCACAGCAGTTCCTACAGTGGCTTTTAATTCTTCTGAGCACACAAGAGTTCTGATGATCAACTTCAACTGGCTGGATTTATCTTAACTTTTAAGAGGGAAACCATTAAAAATACCTTTACTTTTATCAAAAACACTGTTTTATTTCCATTCGAATCTTAAAATTTAAACTTGGTTTCTGAGACATGCATTGTTAAAAAAAGGTAAGTTATAGCGCAACCCAGAAAGCAAACCATATCTGACATTTTACAAAACAGTGGTGCTCTCCCTGTTTCTCTGATGGGTACCACAAACAGAGACTGAAACAGCAGCGGAGAAGTGCATCAGCCAGGCGGGGCAGGTGGCCCACGCCTGCGAGCCCAGCACTCAAGTACAACCCCACCCAGCCCACTCAGCAACTCAGTGAGACCCTTCCTCAACACTAGAAAATCTTAAAAACGGGCTGGGGATGTAGCTCGGTGCCAAGGCCCTGAGTTCAAGTACTAAAAGAAGAGAAACCCAATAAAACAAAACAATGCATGTACCGCAGCTCACACAGCTGAGTCATGGCACTCTTCCCTCGCAGCGGCTAGCAGAACATTCCAGGTCAAAGGAGTCCCAGGCGGGCAGATCCCCACCTTACCTCTTTGTGCACCTTCCAACTGTCTACCGTCATGTTGAAGAGCGCTTTGAGAGCCTCGATGGCACAGTCTGTCTCCTGAGGTGAGAGAGGAGGTCCGTTACGGTCTATGGCCGACTCATACTCGTCGGTCCACTTGATGCTAAAGGCACTTTCCAAGACCTGGGTGAGCAGCGGTAGTCCTTGGAGCTCGTAGCGCAACTGTGACCTGATGTCAGTGTGCAAAAGGGACAAGAGGAAGAGCAAGCGCAAGTCAAAGCACTTTATGTCACTGATGAATTTTCGGTCCTTGCACTTCCTCAGGAGGTTACAGAGCTTTGCAGCAAGATTAAGTTCCAGGCTGAGCTGCTGTGCCATCTGACTGTTGAACACTATGTTACACAGACATTTTAACGATTCCACAATAACAGGGAACTCGGACACCTTATCCAAAGAATCATCGGACTCATTTAGCTTGGCGAGTCTCAGCAGTATCTGCATATTTTCCTTAGATGTTACAGGAACTAAAATCCTTTTGTCCCTGGAGAGAATACGGAGTACTTCCAGGCAGGACACTTGACACGTTGTTGGGACATCCTTTACAAGGACTTTAAATATGCCTTCACAGAGTTTCTGGAAAACAGGAGCAAGTATGCAAAAGCATTATTTGGCTCAAATCATGTAAAACATGCTTCTCTACTGATATATTTAATAACCACTCAGGATCCTGCTAGAAAAGGGTTGCATTTTTATAAATTACAAAATGTTGCGCTTGAAAGAGAGCCTGGATTTGGCATACATTTTTCACTTTACACACACAGAAACTGAGGGCCAGGGAGGGAAGTGACTGGCACCGTCCCAGACGAATTAGTGCCACAGTAAGAGGTAGTAAGAGGGCCAACCTTCAGGCCCACTATGTGTCCTATAACATCACTTCTTTTAAGCTGATTAGTTTCAAATGTCTTATGTGGCTTTATTCTTTATAAATTTTCAACATTAGACTAAACATGTATCAGGGCAGACGGAAGGCAGTTTGTCTGGATCATAGCTGTCCCCTTCCCAGAAACAAAGGTTAATGCTCGAGAACTGGTTTACATTTGCCCACCACACACACTCTTGTAAAATGACTTGAGGAAGCGTTATCTCTGCTAGGTGTTTTAGTTGTGTTATTTCTTCTTAATGTATAGTTGTAATGGCGGTAGTTCAATGTTTCAGAAAACTAGAACCCTCTCTAGCTAAGATCTAATAATAGTTAATGATCAAATGCTTCCAGAAAAGGACTTTTGCTGGCAAATCAATAAATCTATTCCAAATCCTGGGTACCAAAAAGAGTTTGCTTAGCATATATAGAATTATTCCTTAGAGCAACTGCAAAACGATGATCTCTCCAGCAAAGTTAACTTCACAACAGTATTACTGCTGGATGGGCATATTACAAAAAAGGCCTTCTTCCTCTGACCAGCCCATTCCAGGACACAGGGCTTGAGCTCCTCAGTGAGGACAAAATTCTCAGCTCCCCTTTATTCTCTTGATATAGCATTCAGGGTGTAATACGAAGGTAGCAGTCCTGACCCAAAGCTTGCTACCACCATCTCAGTAACAATTCTTTTAGGATAACCCAAAGTGTGTTTTCTCTTATATTTTTTGAAAAAGTAGTTCATATATCATCATTAAATTTAATAATCGCTGGTCATTCTCTCAAAATTCAACGTCAGATTTCTGCTATAGTGTCTCTTACAGTGTCTCCCCTTGATTTTACCCAGCAGTACTATACTGTTTGAGGTGCTACAGGTTTTTTCAGAAGGCAGAAATGGTGCATATGCCAGGGAAGTGCTCTACCACTGAGCTACATGTCCAGCTAACAGAAGTATTTTTAACGTTGACTTTCTGCTGCCTAGAACATGCCTGCGGTCCTCCAACCTTGTGTACCTTCCTGCTGCCCGCAGAACGCAGCTGCCTTCCTCCTGCTGTCTCCGGCCACACACGTCCCTCCTGGCTCTCCAGGTGTTTGACTTTGAGACACAGCGTATCCGGAGACTTTCCTTTGCTGTTCCTTTGGCCTGGTATTCCTGCCACCACACTGATCAGGACCCTGCCCTTTCTTCAGGCTTACTCTGGCAGCTGAGAAGTCTACAAGCGTCCAAGTCATTCCCTCTCTGCTCTGGCTGTGCCTCCCACAAGCACCTGTTGGTGTACCTGGTATGAAGTCTCACCCCTCCAGGGTCCTAGAGACTGAGGCCTCCATCCCAATGGCTGGCCTGTGTGTGCAGGCTAAGTGCAAGGAACATAAATTTGCAGGGGTGACTGCACGGAAGTTTACCATCTGACTCTCCAGTACTTTCCAAAGGACTCTCCTCTGTCAGGCACAATTCACTCTCAAGCATCTTCCACTCTTTCCAAGTACAATGAATCATCATTACATTACGTTTTAGCTATAAGCTTTTTATTTACTTTTCAGTACAGTGACACCTCAGCTGCTGGGCAGCTCCACACTCCAAATTTCCACTACTTGAACAACAAAGTTTGAAAATGTCTGCTCAGTGTTAGTGACTCTGCTCCATAGCTGAACCAAAAGTCCAATTTGAAAACCCTGTGGGGGCCGAGAGGGAGTCACAGGCTACGTCTCGATTGGACAGAAAGCTGTGACGCTGCGGTCTGAGCGCTGTTCTCGCCCAGACAACACACAGTGCCGTGTGAGCGCGTGCAGACACTCATCACTGGACTTGTGCTTTTGTTTTCACTTTATTTGCATAAAATATCATAGCCCTAGCTCCAAAGGAAGTTAGTGATCCAGCAGTAAAGAGGAAAACTGAGAGCCATGATAAAGAAATCTTTGCAAAATCTGTTGAAAGTCCTGGAAGAATTTTAAGTGTAACGTTTAGGCCTCAGAATCACTTGATTGGTTTTCCATTGTTTCTGATGGAAAAAGTGTGTTCAGCTCTCAAACTTCTTGCTATTTCAACATGAATTTGGGATTAATTGAGTCTGACAATGGAGGTATCAGTGTATTGGTTATATGAATATATAGTCACTGTTCAATTTTTTTAAACCTGAAAATTATTTGGCTATCTTAGATGACAATGGAACACAATTTTTCCTATTAAAATCAATAAAAGTATTTTCCTTTTTAATAACTTTTCATTTTAGCAGGTTTAGGTTTTCAGGAATGAACTAAAGTTACAAAGCAGGGTTAAATACCCCCATAAAAGTAATCATAGGGCCGGGGGGTTAGTTTAGCGGTGTCAGTGCCTACCCTGGGAGGTGCAAGGTCTTCAGTTCAAGCTCCATACCAACCCTCCCCAAAAAACAAAACAAAACAAAAACATGCAATCGTAAGAATTTTAGTAAAAGCCCTCATAATATGCCCATTAGCCTAGTAACTCATGCCTATTTCTATGATCAGACTATGGGACCCTGCAGGAGAGAAACTGGGAGGCAGATCTTGAATGGTCCCAATGTCCCAGACTGTAGTTTGCCTCAAAGCTTAAGCCCTGGAGTAGACTACAGAACTGGCCCTCAACCTTCAGCATGCAGCACAATCCCCTAAGACCCCGCACTGCTACCCCACCCGTTCCACTGTAGTCACCAGGTGCTGATTCAGCAGGTACCGGTGAGGCTCCAGAACTGGGACTTTTAACAAGTTTTCAGTCATTTTGCTGGTAGTGGTGCCCAGCGACTACACTCCAGGACAATGCATCACAGTCGGCGACGGAAGTTACAGGAGGTAACTGAGGGCAAATGGCAGAGGTGTGCGCAGGACAGCTGGCAGAGGCAAAGGCCATTAGCGTAAGTATCTTAACTTCCTCACTGCGCAGCGCTAAAGCTGAGTAAGGGCGGGCAGGGATGAGAACACGATGCACTGTCTGGTCATAAACCTTCCCTAAACCCTGAAAGAGTGCTAGGAGATGAAACTTTTTTCAAGTCAGTCCTGGGCTTGACACTAGTTCACCCCACCATGGACCCCAGGACCAGAACAGTGTCATAATTAGGAGCTGGAGTTCTGGATTCAGATTCCTTCATTTAAATCTTGGCTCTTCGGTTTACTAATGGTCTGACCTCGGCAAGTTACTGTTTTGCTGGGCCTCATGTTTACTTAAGAATTAAATGATGGGGCCAGGGATTTAGCTCAGGGGCATAAATGCCTGCTTGGCAAATGCAAGGTTGTGAACTTGATCTTCGGTACCAAAAAAAAAAAAAAAAGAATTAAGTGAGATCATAATATATAGTATTCAGGATATTCAATACAGGTTAACCACTATATTATAAAATTATAAATATAAAATAAAACCTCGAAGTCCTCAGCTCGATACTTACTGGCCCCGCATCATCTTTCCCGCTGTTCCTGTAACGAAGGCGGCCCTCCCCAGCCAGCATCGCAGACTCTCTCTGTCCTCCTTCGCTTCCCGACCACCCCCTCTACACCTCCCGTCCTGCTCCTCCTGCACCTACTCAAGGTTCACCCATTCTCCAAAGTTAAGCCTAAATTCCACTTTCCATATAACATTTCCCACCACTTAGACCTCCGGCAGTCTTCCTCCCACAGAACACCCCAGAAGCAATTCCTAGCAGTCGCTCTGTGTTCACACATTTGTCCCTTTAGCTTTCTTTCTGTGAGTCTCCCTCAACTAGTGTAAGTTCTCTGAGGGCAGAAAGGTGTCTTTGTTCCTGAAAGAAGAAAATGTCCTCGAGTGACCAGGATCGCAAAGACCTGAGTTTTAACAGCTGGCTTTGCCAGTATGATGTAAGTGTGTGTGCATGTATACTGCTAGTTGTATGATACAGAAACAGTCTACTCAACTGCACTGAGCCTCAGAGCCCCGTTTGTAAATGGAAACAACACTATTCACATCTCACAAAGCTGTTATAAAAGGACATTCTGCTATAGAGTAAAAACTCTTTAATGGTGATTATTACATTTTATCACTTCGCAGTTGTTGTAGCTAGAACACAACAAGCACCCCCCAAATAAATTGATTAAATAAAAAGTTTCATAAATCTGAAGCAGTAGTAGAGGTCTATTAATATTTGCGATATTGCTCCTTTCTAAGAAGGCAAGAAAGAAGTAGACATTGTTCTTATGATTATACTGGTAAGGTGATTTGCCAATTGGGTAACAGCTTTTTCGCACACTTAGGAAGTTATATATTTCCAGTACTATAAAGGAAATGCACGGCAATAAATGTCTACATAAAGAAATGACTAGATCACATGTAAATAACCTAATGATATGTCATCAAGGCTTTACAGAAGTAGTAAGTGAAATAGAGACTAAAAAAAAATACAAATCACCAATGAAACAAAGAGCTGGTTCTTTGAAAATACAAACAAAACTGACAAATAGCCAAAATAGCCAAGAGAAGACCCAGATAAATACAACCAGTGCACTCTCCCACCAACAAGAGCCTTCCAGGTCAGAGGGAAAATGCTCGAGGGCCCATCGGAACATGTTCCGAGCTCCCGCCCAGTGCTTCCCCTGCTGGGATGGGGCCCTGAGTACAACTCTCTGCAAACAAGGAGAGAGTTCTGTTTCCCCTCTGTGTAAATGGTGAGGTCTAATGCTGAATTCTCGGGTGTGGGGACAATACAGTAAACCGCCGAAGCCTTCAGACTGTCCATCTCATTTCGGACCCCCA